TGGGATTCACTTAGTGCATTAACGAAGTTATGTGTTACCAGAACCACAGTAATAAACACCCGAGAACACAGTTGCTTCAACTATTACTGCTTAATCAGGAAGGAAGTTCCCAAATACAAAACTTATTAAAATTCCATCATTAAAAAAATAATTGTTTTGCTGCATATATCAAAAAGTTTTTGCATCTTATTCAATGTTCTCCATTCTTACTTGGTCAGACTAGAAAGTTTATTACGAAGACTGTTTTCTGAGTGAGATCCTTTGTTAACTTTAAATTATAGGCAGTCATAATAAAAGAGAGAGAAGAAATAAAAAAAAATGATCCACTTGCATTAATCTGAAAAAAAAGCGCAGATTAAATAAATAAAATCATTAAACTTTATCCATCTGCACGACAACTGCCGCAAACATTAGGCGGAAATATCTGCAGGTCGAGGAACCAAGAATGATTTAATTAGTTTACATAAACTGCGCCTTGTGCAGCTTAAAGCCCACGACTTCTCCCCAGCGAACATCACTTATTCATGACACTAAACTACTGTTCAAAAAGTCGTCTTTTAAAAACCAGGAATAACACTTGCAAGACCTTTCCTAGAAACGTTTAATTCAGAAATCCACCGTTTTTGAAAACCACAACCAAAACCTCATAACTTTTTTACTACATGCTTGATTTTGGGTCAAGGCTCTTAGTCTAGCCCCTTAGTCCTGCAGCTTAAAAATACATACCATATTTGAATTCGCTAACATAGTTTCTTAAGGTCAATTCAAATAATTTTAAACGAAATTACAAGTCACAAATCGGTCAAGAAAAGCTCAGTCTCAAGTTCATAAACGAGTTTTACCAATACTTCTGAAATCATTCACTAGTTTAACCTGCAATATTCTTCCACTAATCCATCAACCAACAAGCCATTCTGCTTGCCATACTCCAAGAAAAACGAGACCGTAACTAATCAACAACAGTTTTAGAGCTAAATGTAACACAAAATCCAATGCCGGTACTGAGGAACCAACTGAAGTCAAACAGCAATTTTAATATGCTTTAAATTCTACTTGTTCTAACTTCAACAAATATAATTTGAGAAGCGATAGTTCAAAAGTCAGTATGGCATAAAGCGAACATGTCAGTAATAAGCCGAATTATGCAACGAATAGTTCACCGGATTTATTTTAGCAGTCTCCTGCTCAGGTAATCAGTACTGTACTACTGTAATTACATATTTATAATGCACTAGCGAAATCATGACCATTCCGATCGTCCAAACCTCAAATTAACAAATGATTAAAAACTTCAACTATCTTGAACCAGCTCTCTCAGTCAAAACTGGTTGCAACTGTAAATGGAGCTAACAGAGTACTTTGGAGGTGGAGTTTTTTGTTTATTTGACACACATGGTAGCTGAATCGATGTCTGGACAGCTTTGAACGAATTTATACAAAAAAAAAAAAAAAAAGGTTTCTTTGTTTTTTTTAAGCTTTTCTCGGGCCATTATAGCTGAAGCACTGACTGCATAAGATTTGCTGTTTGTCGAATGTAAAGTTATAAGGAGGAAGAAGACAGTAAAAGAAAAGGAACACCACCGGATGCGATAAGCACTGACAACACGAAACCAGAACAAAAGTGGAAAGCAACAATAAACAGGTATTAAGGATTATATGGTAAAACTTATTCAGTATGATAAGAGACCACTGATGGGATTATGTTAACCAGAAGAAAAGACTCTAAAAGCACAAATTTTTGTTTGGAAACCTCAGTGTATATTTCAAAGCATTAATGAGATTCATGGAATAGATAGATGTTAACTTCAAGGCACAGCATTCAAAATAAAATATTTTTATAATTTACAATACTTAGTCTACTAACAAGACAAAGAAGAAGCAGAGCACAGCAATTGCACTGAGAAAGTTTAGCAGGAGAAAGTTTTATGGCTGGAATTGCTCTACCGCGAAGATAATGAATAAAATTAGAAAAATCAGAAAAAAGTACCCGATTTGAGTGTTAAAAAATACTATGACTTATACAAAGATAACGATCACCGTTTCACACGACTACTCTTTCTGCTGCATGACTTCAAGTTTTTGTCACTTTTATCATCGCTTTCGTCCTCTCCACTGCTGTCAATATAACGTTTCGAATCCGTTTCAATATCGTCTAGGCTCCTGTGTCTTCTTAATTTTTCATAATTGCCTAAGCTATTGATACTCCCACGATGAATAGCATTTGCTAGGGCAAGTTCT